TTCTAACCTCTTTCTGTGTTCTGTGATAATAATGTTTCTAGATAATTTTGGCTATTTTCCCACTTCAGTCTTATTTCATAAATCCTCTCCGAGTGTTCCAACTGTCCACACTACACAACATACAACTTTACCATGACAAATTCTGGGATAAATTATAGTCTGAACGTCACTCGTCGGTCCATAAATTATTTGTGTTACGCGTTGCTTTCGTTGCTGCGTGATGAAAGGGCGAATCTACAAAATACACCTTTTATGATATTAACATTTATCATTTGAACAACAATATCCTAAATTACGTTTAGTACATATTCTACTACTATCTACCATTTGATATTTTAGTACAGGATAAGAAACCAACAGTTAGTTGAATATTGTTGTTAATGACACTAGTCTATAAGAACACGTTCAAACGTCGTTCGTCACGCCTTAATGTGAAAATTATAAAAAAATATACATACGTATTTTTTTTTATTTTATAACAATCTCATATCTATTAGACAAGTCCGTCCGTCCGTCTGTGGTGCTGTTTCAGCGGCCAAACCGTAAGAGATGATAAAGAGAATATTTAAGTTATAAGTTAAGAATAGTCTGATAAGACTACAAACCGGATTTGAGTAACGTAGCACTTCCGGTTTTCGAGAAATCACGAATTTCAAACGAAACCACACAAAATCTCCGAAGTTCTCAATTAACTAAATACATTTTTTTTTTTTAAATCCGGTTTTGGTGAACATTTGGTTCACTGGTTTGCTAGTTTCTGTATAATACTATGATAAAATGTGCAATAAGGCTGATAATTAGGTATTTTGAGTGATATCATTTGTAAGATAAGGGGAAGTCCAGTTTGCCAAGATATTGTTAGCAAATTTTAATAATATAAGATTTCTTCTGATGTACCTATTTTATATTAAAATAATAATGCCCGTACTATGTTAAGATTGTAAAGAGAGAATTCTAGAGACAGCTGTTCATTTGTAATATGATATTATAATATTTGTAAATTCATCAAGAAGGTTAATTTCAATCTGTAAGCCATATAAAAGAAATTGTGAAACTCGATTTTGCTTAACCTTAGATATGTGTATATGTTATGTATACACTTCATTAACGGCCGCTAACCCCGTTATTTATAGAAGGTGGCATTGTTCGTGTAAGAATAGACAAAGTCATTTAGAACATAGATTAATTCATTAGGTGGGAGTAGTGTTGATACTTTTTTTTTAATACTAACCCCACGACATCGAAAAAAATAGTGTACGTACTGATAGCACATCTGTCACCTTCTATCTAGAGCTTACTTCTCACATTTTTGTATGCGTGTTAATTTATATCTATTGTCTATACGCGAAGGTCAGTTTTTGTACGATTAGGCTTCCTCTAATTTGATTTACAAGTTCTGTTCACATCGTTGAACATGGAAATAATCGCGGACATGCTATTTTTGCACGCAATTTTTTTTCTGGTATTGATATTATATTTTTCACCCAGACATCTCAAACCTTACCTCTACAAAGAACGGTATGAGATTAAACGGGTTGTTTCGTATTCGTCCTATGACGTCTCATCTTACTCATTATTATTTTCTTACTCAACCCACGAAAAATATTTCGTTTTATATACCTTATTCATCCCAAAAGTGTTCTTAGCTCAAACCATTGCAAAATCACGTAAAATAATTAAGGTTTGTGTGTACGACTTATATTATTTTGACGGAAATTGATAGTGAAGACAACATTTTCAATTGCCATCTGATAAAATTTAACAGATTTTAAAAATCATATTTTACTCATTAGTTTACATACGCATTACAATGCAACAGAGAAAAATTAACCAAAAAATCAATGTATTGATTCATCCCATTATCGGGTCTTGTTTGAAGATACTTTAGTAAACCGGAAGAACCAATAAATCACATCTCAATTTTACGCGAAACTGTAAAAATGACATTAAAAATGTTTCATCTAAATGCCAGGTTTAATGTACTGTCTCTGCCATTTCAAAATAATTTATTATAGGCAGAGGCAGCATTAAAATGATTTATTGGCAATAGCGGCCACCAAACACTACCTACTTATGAAGATGAAGTGCTAATAATTTTATGCGATTTGTAGGAATTGCGATTTGAAATTGTTACTTTGATAGCGAATATTATAAGTATTAATAAAAAGTTAACTTAGTATTAAGAAAAAAAAAAACAGATTTCTGAATAAAGGCTGTTGTAATATAGTAAATGTTAAGTTAATTTAATTACTTGACCAGTAAATAGAATAAAAAAATAGGGTTATTTAAAAAGACAAATTTATTAACTCTAAAAATAATAGGTTCCACCGAGATTTGAATTCGGATCGCTGGATTCAAAGTCCAGAGTGCTAACCATTACACCATGGAACCGATTGCTGGGTTGTCAAAATATGCGAATACATTACGCTCGTCGAAAATATTGCAAAATTCTTTTACAAAATGAAACTATACGGTACATACATACATGTATCATCTTCTTAAGAGATTCGAAATTTCGTCTCAGCCGCTAAGAGGTTCCATGGTGTAACGGTTAGCACTCTGGACTCTGAATCCAGCGATCCGAGTTCAAATCTCGGTGGAACCTTGCTTTTTTTTAGATACATTATTATTTTCCTTTTTTTTAGTATGACTTTTTATTGTATTGAAGAGATCGAGAAAAATTTCATGTGCGTGCCTTCCGAGGGGCCACAGTGGAAAAAGACGGTTTTGTACACATGAAGATTTAGCAAGACCTTTAAAAAAAAGTAGCCAAAAGGATAAATCTGTACCTGTTGTAAGTAGAATGCTACGACTCAACGAATGTGAACTCTCGGACGAAACGCCTCAATTTAATCATATTACTGTATCTGACCAATTTAAATAATTTTGATAAATGGTAATATTTAGAAGGTAATTTGTAGGACAACGTATAAAAAATTTAACTCTGTTGAATGACTACAAATAAAGAAAATTCAATAAGTCGGTGGGCCCTCAAATCTTACGTGTTTTATAATTATAATTTACTCTACATACTACCACAAATTTGCAGTTAAAACTAAACTGTAGAAGAACCGTTATGTCACTAGAGTTAGGCGATATTTTTTTTTTTTGATAATAAGAAAACGGTGCTAGATTGGAATTATATTACGTTCTTTATTATGAATGCGAAAGTATAAATATTCGCATTTATTCAAATACGATTTTTTTTAAATTTAATCTTTCTTACTCGTAAAATGATCACTTGGATAGAAATTCACAAATGAAACATATTTCAAATGCTTCATACAAATGCTGCTTTTTTATGCAATGCATGCAAATGGGTGTCGATTCTACTAAGCTAAATTAAAAATTTTGTCTCAATAGTGGTTCAGGTAGTATCGCTTGTTAACACAGTTCTTGTTAATAAATCTTAAATATAAATCATATAGATAACGATAACAAATAAATGAATAGGCGAGTTCATTTATGATTTTTTATTTTAATAACAATAAGTACACGATTGTTAGATTAAGTTAGCAGAATCGACACCCCGATCAATAACTTCCACATTGTAAAAGTCAAGGGTTGCTAACCTCATAATAGCTACCTAATAGTTGCGTAGGTACTCGTAGTCAGTATAAAAATAATCAATACTTACCTTATATTTGAAACGCAAAAGTACAGTTATTATGTCGTCATTTAACCTTGGAACGCTAATGTAATGATATTCATGAATTGGATGTGATGTGACTCATCTATAATACAGAGAACATGCTATAAACTCGATGTTTGTAGGTGTTATCGTTTCAAATTTATGCGCTTTTAACAAGGCTTCTATTAAAGAAATTAGAATGACCCATTTTTTTATTGCATAATTTATAGAAATATTTCTCTCAATATTGTTTTTTTATTGAATTTTTTATTCATTCGAAATGAAATCAGGAAAAGGTTATAATAATTAATAAATTTCAACAATAAAATACTCTTTAAGGGAAGTTCAAGAATTCATTAATGAATTATGTTTAAATATATGTTTCATCCAATGTCACCATTTTAGACCCCTTGAACCCTTTTTCCCATCATAAAGTATACATTACTTTCAACTTTCGTATCTTTCATAAGTTAAATTTAGCTTCACACAGCAGTGGCGGGCAGGTCAATTTAAATTTTCGCTTTACGATCAGAAGGTTCACGTAACAAAACGTCCAATTATCTGATAGTCTGTATAGTAGAACGTCTATTAAGCTAAACATCACATTCTCAAAATATCTGAATACTCAGGCACACAAATAAAATAAACTTATACCTTATTCAAATTGACTTATATAAGTTCTTTTGAATCGTTTAATATTTTTTCCAGCACCCATTCATGGCATCTTTTAGAAGATGAAAAGAATGGGAGCAAGAAACTCACCAGCATTTAACAAAAGAAGCAACATACATAAAATCAAAATTCGTTATTTGAAGAAAGTAAGCAAAGTAATATCGATATAATATTTACTGCCAAATACAAAAGAGAGGTTCAAAAATGTTTATATATATATATATATATATATATATATAGGTCCGACAAATGACTCCGCCCCACCTGATGTTAAGTGACGTTGAAGTCCAGACGTGATGATAGCTGGTACAGCAGTTCAAACTGCCACACCAACCATCCTCACCTTGCCAGACTGCATGTAGCTTCTTCACGTCTCTTTTAAAGGATCCCAGGTTGTAAGAAGGAACACGTAAATTAATCCCTTTGGATTTTTGATAAACATTGGTCGTATCAAAATGATATTAATGCATTAATTCAGGGAAATCTGTGCGCCTAATATCCTAATAATATTTAAAAAGCTGGTTATTAAAGGAGTTTTACTTTCTTTCATGAGTGTACCTACACATTTTAAAAATGGCGACGTACATTTTCAGAAAGGAAAACTTTAAGAATACGCAATGCATATCGTCCGTAAGTGGTAGATGTCACAAAAAATTGTTACAAACTGTCTTACGTACAAACTCGTTTTTGTTCACAGGAACCAGTAGCCATCAAGTCGAAGTTGCTCCATTGGAAGAAAGTGGACCCCTCCGATCATCTATTCATTCCCACCAAAGATGAAGCTGTAGCAAGCGCATAGATGGCGTTATATGTAGCTAATTATTTAGTGGAACACGCTTTTAGGACCCATAGCATACAGCGGGACTGTGCAGCTAATTAGAACAATTAATGAGTCCCCTGATAACACTTATTATGATATCAAAAGATATTATATACTACGTTGTTTATTTATAAAAAAAAAAATTATAGTGTGAAATTACACAATCTTAAATTGATCTTAAAGAAAAAATGCTACGGTTACCTTTTCAAAATCTAAAACCATGGCTTAGCTATTAAAAGCATCTTCAATGACCAACAATATTGCCTTAGCAAAAGAATATAGCTTCATTTTGAGGTCTGAAGCCAAGAGTAATTCTATGTTACCTAACTATGATTGAATATAATTCTACTACATTGATTGATTGAGACAATAATTCTGGGGTTCCAGTTCTTTTGGTCATCAAATTACGACCAGGACCTGAATACTATCACAATTTCTCCATAATGTACTGTCTAAGCACAAGGCTTAGAAAACTGCTTTTGGATTTTAACCGTGTGGCTAACAATTATTTTAAGAATATCCAAAAGGTCATGAATATTAGTAGAGTTAAACCAAAAATTAACAATATTTCTGTAACTTTGCCTAGAAGTAGGATTCGAAACAAAATATATTAGATATATTATTATGACATAATTAAAAAAAAATCTTATTATAAACACTGATAGGTAATTTAACTGTGTTGCGTGGAAAATGCATGGGTCGTTAATGAGATAGAAGTCCTATCTTATCAGATTGTTTGATCAGCTGGGTAACACAGTGTAGGCGTATTCCATGGCATAGCCATGACCCATTAATATAGATAATAAATGTTTTCTCAAATTAGTAACTATATTATATGTAGTTATTATAGCAGTATTTTATGAATGTTTCTGAAGTATTATTTGACTAGTATTGTGGTGTAACAACAATACACATTTTTTTTATTTTTACATTCCAAAAATGTTTAATTGTTATGATAACTTAGGTATTTTTTATGTCATCATTAGCCACTGTGATTTATCAAATGCACCAATATCAGTATTCAATTCAGTACTTAATGTATTTTTTTTGTATTACTTATTTTATTTGTGATTTCATTGTGATTTTATTTTATTGACATTTTTAGATGTTGTGTTTTATGTCATTCTCATCACCAAAATTGTATCATGTTTATTATTGAATAAATTGTGTGTTAATAAAAAGGTTTTCTTCCTTATAATACCAAGTTTGATAATATAAGAATATTATGTTTGAACTAACATAACCTTGAAATACAGAGAACCTTAGCAATAATGTCATAGATAAAATATCCTTCATTATCAATCACATATTTAAAGCCACACCTTCAACAGAATCATGACTAACTAAATTTCATGATAAGTAGGAAAATTCCAAGAAAATAAGTAGAACAGAAAAACTTGGGTAAGTATTTTAAAATTATCCTTATTTTATTACAAACCTTAAATCTAAATATATAATATAGCATTGTGCCTTTCAAGGTGGTAAATGTCAAAGTACATTAACACAAGGTAGATTATTATCAATCGAAATAAAATAACCCTCTCAATTCCTGCATCCTTTTGGCTCTAAAACAATGTTCAAAGGGAGAAGTAGCAGATTGCCAGCCCATAACTATTATTATAAGAAAGCTCCCTGGCCAATAGCAAAAACAAAAATTGCTCTACTTTTACTACTAGATATAGGAAAGCAGCTGGCACTGTTATTGAACTCCCAGTGAAGATCTTTACCCTAATCATTTCAACTTTACTACTATCAACAATACTAAAAGATTTAGTTGGTCGAAGCTTTATTATAACATTAATATAACAATAATTATTGTATGCATGAATCTATGGAAGGGTCTTTCATTACTCTTAGCCCCATAATTAACCTATCTATTCTAGTCAAGAAGATATTTTTGAAAAAACAAGAGTTTATTCCTTACACAATACCAGTACACTGCACAGCAAAATTTATTTTTTGTATGCTGTCCTTTATCTTATAAAAAATCCAAACTGAGATAGTTGTGTCCTTTTCGCTTTTAAATCACACATCACATACATTACACAACCAAAAACAGATTTATAACAGTTAATCATAGTCCCCATTGTCATTTTCCTCTTTAATATTAGGGTCACTTGTATGCTAGTATTTCTTGATAGTCTTTCTGATGAGTGCCATTCTCTGTTTGTGGGCTTCTGTGACTGCAGCTCTCTTATAGGGCCTCAACTCCTCATTTCCGAAACCAGGAATCCACATATTCCACTGTCTTTCTGCAGAATAATAGAGATTATATAAAATACAAAGGCATTTTTTTTTGTAAACCTAGTTCAACCTTGATTAAACTTATCCAAAATCAAAATAACTTATTAAAAAATATGATGATAATGAAATCTAACTGAATAATACTAACTTAAAGTTCCTATTTGCCTACATTTTACTCCTTTAGCAATCACTTTAATTTTTTTAATTGGGAAAATGATTAGCTTTTGCCACATAAACACTTTCTTTTGCTTCGAAAATGATAACAGGAGTGAAACTTAAACAATAAGCCCATAGCTCCTCTGAATATAAGATGTACAGCTACTTAGTCTCAACCAGTGCCTCATGTAGAATAGTTATGGCAGTAACTGTCGTTGATTCCTGACAAATAAAGATATCTCCCGTGAAATGAAAAATTACAATGCACTTTTCATTAACACTATGACCATGTCCACCATCTAGCTTAAGTAGTATATGTGACGTCTGGCTGGTGGGGGGTGTAATTCTCCCAAAAACCTGACATTTTAAAATGTTATCCAGATAATTTGACTTACCAATCTGGCAACCCTACATACAACATATATTTATCAGTATAATGGTATCAGTGTTCAACACACTAACAATTTATAAAGTCTATGGTATTATGCTAGGTTTGTAAGTAATCTACTAACCTAAATGTAACTGAACATCCTTGAGCTCCACGGTGGGAGCGTGCCTGTGTTTCGCCAGAGCACAGGCAGAATTTAATGTTGTATCTATAAAATCATCAGCAAGTTGCAGAAGCATTTCTTCTACTTCTTCATCAAGTTGGACTGTGGGGTCGACTTCACGGACCAATTCTTGTAGACGAGGTCGGCTGAGCAACTAGGTATTAAAGAAAATGAAACACTTAATATTTCTATATTATGAAAGCTCGTATTTTGATCTTATAAATAAATAATTCGCAGTGCAACCATTGATTACTTATAAAAAATCATAAAATGAACCTATATCTTACCTGTGTAGCCTGATCACCAGCTCCACTCTGGCCAACTTTAGTTCCAGTTTGAGCCTGCGTTCCCATAGGGCTATGTTGAGAAGGAGATCCTTGCAGTGAACTGGACTGTAGTTGCGGACTTTGTAAAGGGTTGTTCACGTATTGGATCGAACCCTGGTTTATTGTTCCGATAGTTGGCATATTAGCGCTTTGGTTATTTGACATTTTAATGGTATTTATATTTTTTTTAGTTTATTTCAACTAGCGTTTCAATAATATTTTAGAAAAACTGGTAATTTCAGCTGTCACTGTCACTGCCATTATAACAGTTTTTGTTAAATTTAAACGGAAAGCAAAGAATATAAAGTTCTTAATGCCTTTCCTTTACTGAAAGGACATCGGCCAAATCATATTTGGATCAAAGTTGAACGTCTAGAATAGGCATTTTTATTAATATTATTAAATATAAACAGTTTTTAATAGTTGTAATTGATACAAATAAAAGCCGAATAAAATAAAACACTGCATTGACATTCATCCTAACTTGTCCTATTTGGTAAACTTGGCTATGTCTATGGTAACACTGGCTAATGCACTAAATACATAAAAAACCGGCTTCACTTTTTTGTTCGGCAGACTCCGTCTTTACTTTTTATTTGGTCTGAGTTACCAATTATGGGTGCGGCCAGAGTGCACTCAGATTCAGAGTCAGATTCAGATTCTGAAAACAAGCGCGAGAAATAAACAGTGTAGTCGAAGGGTACGGCCAGATTGCACTCCTGATTCAGATTCAGATTCAGACTCGGAAAACAAAGCGCGAGAAAAAGCAAGCAACCTGCTTAGACTACACTGTTTATTTCTCGCGCTTGTTTTCGAAATCTGAATCTGAGTGCACTCTGGCCGCACCCTACGACAAGTTAGAATGATTTTTTTTAATTTATTCATGACCATGGATACAAGTCTTTCAGTCGTATACAAAACAATGAAGATAGTTAGAATGAACAGACTTTAGTGTTGCCATTTATTTTGTATATTATACCACCTGTATACGTCAACTGAATCGATATATTTTTTTCTAGACAAGATACCTTTGAACAAAAGCTATCGCAATCGTTAAATAGAAAATGTATGGAATTTTTGTCATAATTCAGGCTTGATTTTCGAGTGTAACTGTTAAATACCATGCAATTTGAATTAAGTGATTAACGGTTTGATTGCTACAAGATTTAATTAATACAAGAAAGCAAGGCTCGATTCCAAAAAAAATACTTTTTCTGGTTATACTTTCTTTAGCTTTAAACATCAAGCAGACATGTTTAAAAAAAACGTTTGTTTAAAGTAGCCAATTCATTTACTTGTATTTGTTAACCAATAATAGAACACCTACACGTTTAATAATTAATATCAAGCGGCCTGTCCCGGCTTCGCACGGGTGGGAATTTACTTTTAAAACATTTTGGGATGCCCTTCTTTACTACTACTGCGAACGTCACCCGAGACATTAGTTTTTTTTTATGTTATAGGGGCCTACGAGCAGACGGCTCACCTGATGGTAAGTGATCACCGTCGCCCATGGACACTTGCAACACCAGGAGTATCACAAATGCGATGCCGGCCTTACGGTACGCTCTTTTTTTGAAGGTTTTTGGGTTTAATTGGTCCGGAAACACTGCTGGCGACAATATATTCCACAATTTTGTCGTACGTGGTAGAAAATTTCGACAAAAACGCACGGTTGTGGATAGCCACGCATCAAGATGATGGGGATGAAATTTTAGTCGCGATGTACGATGGCGAAATGCAGCAGCTGGAATTAATCCAAACAATTCCTCAGAACACTCCCCGTGATAAATGCCATAGAAGATGCAGAGCAAAGCTACGTCCCTACGCAAAGCCAAAGGATCAAGCTGATCGGAAAGGTCCCAGTCGTCGACGATTCGAGCCGCTCGGCCCTGGATGCGATCCAAAGGGAGAAGCTGGTATTGGGGTGCCCCCGCCCAAAGATGAGAGCTGTACTCCATGTGAGGCCGAACCTGTGCATTATAAAGTTGCAGTCGGTGGGCCGGTGTGAAGTACATTCTCGATCTATTGAGCACACCAAGCTTCTTAGAGGCCAATTTGGCCTTGCCCTCTAAATGATCCCGAAACTGGACGTCGCTCGATATGTAAACGCCAAGAATTCCAATACTAGCTGAGGCAGTTAGAGGAGTGTTCTCAAAAAGAGGAGATACGACAAATGGTATTTTTTTTACGGTGAACGCGCATACTTGTGTCTTCGTAGGATTAAATTGGACTAAATTAAGTCGGCCCTAATTCGTTACTCGGTTTAACAAAGTTTCGACTTCAGACACAAGTTTGTTCCGGCACTCGATGACGTTTTCCCGTGATATGTTGGCGCGGCCGGTATATAGGGCATCACCCGTGCTGTCGTCTGCATAACAATGAATGCCATCAATTTGAAGCATATCATTGATATAAAGAAGAAATAGTTGCTAAGTCTTCAATTAATACTTACCCAATAATTTCATTAGCTACAGTTCCCTCTTTCCAAAACACAGTAATGCATTAGGACTATACACTGCGGTAGTAGGTACCCACCTAGCCGGATCTTTGTAGAGCGACCACGACCATACTGAATGGTAGGGTGGCTTGGTAGTAATTTCAAATGACTTCTACTACAATTTGAATTTATCTGTGACACGGTAATCATCATCATCATCATCAGCCTATTAATGTCCCCACTGCTGACACGGTAATATTATATAATATTACCGTGTCTGTGATATTGGTATAATTGTTATGATCTTGGTGCAAAAAATCAATATCTGTTTTAAAAAAATGTAATACAGATACGTAATAAAAATCAAAATAACATAACCAGTAAATGTTCAGAGCAAAATATATTTTTTCCTCGGCTTTCTTTCGTCGTGATTCTTACATAAAAAAGCTTAATAAATTACGCAGAATCGAATGATATATCATTTGTTGAAAGACGCAACAATTTAATTTGAAATGAAACGATGTATAGGCAGTGGCGGATTTGCAAGCTAGGCCGGCCTAGGCCTCAAGCCATCAGCCGTCCCTTTCTCAGCATTCACCATAGACTACACAATGTTATTACTTTATTGCCAACTTTCATCTAAATAGATTTAGAAATTTAGTAAAAAAAAAAGTTTTATTTCGCAAGAATAAGGTACATAAGTTGTTATAACTAGTTATTTGCTCTAACATACAGTAACATACTCAGCCAACTTGGCTATGATAACTTTTACATGAGTATTACAACTCTTGTTCAACACTTAATTGCGAGTTAAACATTTGAATATCTTATTAAACACAAATAATTTGTTGCGAGAATTAAACAGTGTAGTTAAATCAGGGCGGCCATAGTAGCAGCAGGCCACCTGCTTAAACTACCTACACTGTATATTTCTCACGCTTGTTTTGTTTTCTGAGTGCACTCTGGCCGTACCCTAAGAGAACAAGATAAGATATATTATACAATGTGCACTGCACTTTAGTGCAGCAAAATCATTAATTAAATCTTCGTAATCCAATTTCTTTAAAAAATCAGCTTCCATATTAATTAACCAAAAAAAGATCGTTTAATCATTGGTCCGTCATTGTTGTCGTAAATAATTATTTACTCGTCGTTAACAAGAAAACGATCGTTCTACAGTTACTGGCGAGAGTACACACACACATACGAAGAGTAATATCCATGTTTGGGTAAATGCTTTAAAGACCTTCAGTTCGTTACGATTTCAACAAACTGACAGCACTGCTCCGATATTCATTTTTTAAAGTGCATTGAGCATATTTTCTGTAAAATCGTCTTCTAAGTCAGTAGAATAAATTATTGGCAATGCTTTGGCCTTTTCTTTGATTTCTGACGCGCTTCATTTTGTCAGATTAGTGTCGTTTGGGGCCGCCCCTAAATCTGTCCGCCCTAGGCCCGGGCCTTAGGGTAAATTCGCCACTGTGTATAGGAGTTGAACGATGTCCTTTACCTATTTTGCTAAAGTATTCATTTGGTATCAATGAAAGTTGACAGATGAACCTTAAAAATGATTTCATTTTTATAATTATTAAAAAATTATTTAATAAGCAAGATCGTGCGGAATCAATTTCAAGTAAGTGATTCCAAACTATTGCTCGCGAGTGTAGTTTTTATAGACGTACGAGAACATTGTTCTTCTACCTTTTGACTGAGGGGAAATGCCTGTAATGGCGTCTCCCGTTATAGATACTCAAAGGACCTAACGCACACAGATGTCTGGGGAATTATCTCTACCTTTCAAAATCATCATCACAGTTAGTCTCACTCACAGGTTTCCCTGAATGTAATAGGAAGAATGGGCCTTAACCCAAAACACGGATTAACGGGTGCGAGTGCCTGCATATAATCGATACCTTGACGTGAAATTCTAATGCGTAGTATCCCCTTAGTAATCTGTGCATTCGAAGCACGGAGGAGCTCGAGATGATTAAGTATTCGAAAGCCATGCCGTTAACATAAAGATGGCTGAAGCGACACATTTCCCTATTACTTCAACAATCTTCACAAATACACTCCTCACTCACTTAGCATCAGGTGGGGTGGAGTAAAGTTAATGTACTGAGCTGGCCAAAAAATAAGTAAACCACTCCATCCCACGGGGGCATTTTTTTTACTTTAGTAAGAAAAGGAAATAAAGAACAAGTTCATATAAAGTCAAGTATCATTATATTTATATTAAATCAGTCAACTTCATCATCCATAAGAGACGATATATCTGAAAAATCATCCTCTTCCAAGAATTTATCACCAGAAATCTTGTCATTCTTCATTTCTTCCATAAAGAGGTGTATGGCTTTTCGTATATCCCACACCTGGAGCTTCAGCCGACTAAAAAAAACAATGTAATCAAATATTTGTCTTTTTATTGTAATAATATAAGGGGTATGGTTTAATATTAAGTATATCCGATATATTGTTTAAACCAGCTATACTCTAAGTGTGTTCCGCGGAACCCTAGGGTTCCGTGATACCTCTGTCGGGGTTCCGCAAGAATTTAGAAATAAAAAAATCAAAACACCTCTCTCTGGTCGTTCCGCGGCTGTGCGGACTCCGCGGCCGCGCGGAGACAAAACGCTATGAATGTTATTTATTTATTTATTTGTATTTGTATAAGCTTGTGTTACATTAGCTGGTACAATATCTCATAAGTTTGGTCTCAACAATTTTATACTTGTACAACGCGTTCGCTCTAAGTTTGCCGGTCTGTGGAATGCGCGTACCCTCCCCCACGTGACAACAAAACTTATAATGTGTCATAGTTTTACCCAAATATCTAACGTACACAATTTTTATTGTTACAATTAAATAAAAAATTTCGAACGTCATACACTCATACCTATCGCCAGCGGCAAACTTAAAACGAGCGGGTAGTATACTTGTAAGCGCTCAGTCTCTTTGATAAAAGCCGCCTCTGAATTAGACGCTATAGTTGTCAACTAGCGACTTTCGTCTCTAACTTCAAAGGATAAAGTCGATATTGTTTACAACGCTATTTTTAAATTTCTGTTTTTATTTTTGCTTTTTGTTTATCAAAGGTGCCGACTCGAGTATTTTCGAGAATATTTGAGATCGAGTCTAGGACTAAGTATAAAAGCGGCGATCGCGCGTTGGCGTCGTCAGTTGATGATTAGCGTTCGGAGCGATAAGTTACTACCTACTTACAAGCTCGCTAGCGAGAAACTGGTGTTCATTGTTTTACTGCCTGCTGTATTCTGTTGTCTCAGTTTTATACATTTCTTCCCTGTAGGTTCTAAATTTAGTCTCTTATACGCAGTAACGATTGTGCATTATTTAAACCCCACTATCCTGACTTGTAACATTATAAATAAAGAAGAATGGAACGTTGGCTTAAAGGTGTTAAACGTGTTCCAACAACATCTTCTAATGACGCTGAATGTTCAAAAGCAATGCGCGCGGAGAATTTAGCAATCACCGATCCAGAAGATGATGCCACGAGTGCCACGACGTCAAGCTCGACGGTTTCAAAGACGAAAAAAAGGAAGTATGATGAATCTTATATCAGTTTCGGATTTGTTGATTCCAACGGCTCACCTCTCTGCATGCTCTGTAGTAAACTGCTTCCTAATAGTTCCATGGCACCTGCCAAATTGCGTCGACATTTAGAAACCGTACACCCCGAGACTAAAGACAAGAATAAAGAATTTTTTGTTCGCAAAAAAGATCAGTTATTAGAAAGTCAAAAAAATATGATGCATGTAACACAAACTACCAACGAAAAGGCCACGGAGGCATCATACTTAGTTAGCTATCGCATTGCACAAGCAGGTGAAGCGCACACTATCGCTGAGAAATTAATAAAACCATGTGTATTAGACATAACAAAATGTATGCTTGATGAAAAATCTGCAAAGCATCTTTCTACTGTTCCGCTATCAAACGATACTGTTTCACGACGAATCCATGATCTGGCAAGCTACGTCAAACAAGAACTAGTTACACGTCTACAAAATACACGATTCGCTTTGCAAATGGACGAGTCGACTGATGTCGCTGGTTTGGCTATCCTGCTGGTTATTGTGAGATATCCATATAAAAGTTCTTTTGAAGAAGACATGCTTATGTGTTCATCGCTGCTTACAAACACTACCGGGGAAGAAATTTTTAATAAAATAAATATATTTTTTGAAGAACATAATCTCAGTTGGAACAATTGCATTGACATTTGTACAGATGGGGCCAAGGCGATGACAGGTAAAACAGCAGGAGCAGTGTCACGAATGAAAAATAAAGCGCCTAATTGTAGTTCCAGTCATTGTATTCTGCATAGACAAGCACTTGCGATGAAGCAAATGCCGTCTAATCTAAAATTAGTTATGGATGAAGCGGTAAAAATAATTAATTTTATCAAATCACGACCACTACAATCCCGATTGTTCTCATTATTGTGTGAAGATTATGGCAGCAAACATAAAACACTGCTGCTCCATACAGAAGTGCGATGGTTGTCTCGGGGAAAAACTTTAACAAGGCTATTTGAACTTAGAGCCGAGTTACAAATGTTTCTTTCAGCAGATACTTCTTTTAATTTGAAGGACCGTTTGTATGATAAAACTTGGTTGTTCCGATTGTCTTTTATGGCGGATATCTTTCAAAAACTTAACGAATTAAATTTATCATTGCAAGGTAAACAGACAACAGTGTTTCAGGCCTATAATAAAATAACTACTTTTAAAAGAAAATTAGATTTTTGGATCATTTGCATTGGTAAGAAAGAAATAGAAAGTTTTACGTTACTCACTGAGTTTGTTAGCGAAAACGACTCAGAAATGTTTGAAGATAATGTGTTTGAAGAATTGGTCCAATATCTCAGTTCGATGCGCGCATCTTTTGAAAAGTATTTTCCCGAAGAACACAATACAAAAATTAAAGTGAACTCCTGGATTCATAATCCTTTTTTACCCAACTTGGAAAAGCCTGAAAACATGTCAAATGAGATATATGAATCTCTTTTAGAAATGTCATCAGACACAAGTATGGAGTCATTGTTCAAAACGACGCCTCTTAATGATTTTTGGTGCAGAATCCAAGATGAATATGCAATGCTTGGCCAAATGGCTCTGGATATTCTTCTCCCGTTCCCAACTACATATTTGTGCGAAACAGGATTCTCTACCTACGCAGCCACGAAAACAAAATATCGCAATAGACTGGACGCCGAAGCTGATATGAGACTCCAACTTTCTTCCATCAAACCTGATATCAAGCAATTGATGAAAAATAAAAAACAGTTTCATACCTCCCACTAGTTAGATTTTTTCTTTTTTAATGTTTTCTATTATTGTCCTTACCAAGTGGTGAAGTAAATAATAATTGGTAACGGATACATTGTACTTTTATTATGCTGATTAATATAGAATACACTTATAAAAATAATTGTTTTATTGTAGGGTTCCATCAAGTATTTTGCTTCCCAAAAGGGTTCCGTCATTTAAAAAGTTTGAGAACCACTGGTTTAAACAATTAATTTTGTATTCGCATTATTTTAATAAGACTAACTTAAATATCTACCTGTACCCTGATAGAAAAGACGTCAATCAATTTTAGCGTTTGCCAAAGTGGCATGTTGTATAATTCATTAAAAAAAAGGAAAAACAGTGACTGCCTCTACTTTTATCAAACTTCAAAATTAATTCAGGTCTTGGAGTGCAGCTGTTACCAGATTAATCTATGCAGTCAATAAATCTACCCTATACTATGGATGGAATAGGGAGATTAGGTCGTAGCGACACGTGCTCAGTGCAGATTGGTGGGTGCTAACTGTTAACGACTGCAGCTGCAGCTAGGATCAACGGCTTAACGTAGCTTCCCAGGCACGGCGGAGCACAAGATAATAAGTTTTTGGTCACCCATCCTATGACCAACCATTTCGAAAGTTGCTTAACTTCTAAAATCGCAGACTGAACGCGCTAACAAACTGCGTCATCGAGCTCCACAAAATAAAATCATTAAAAAAGTATTTCGTAATAATTAATTGCTAATGAACGTGCTGAATATAAAAAAACATCTTCAGTTCATTGACGTATAAAAGCAAGTAGACACACAAACGCGCTGAAAAAGTCTATTGTGCATAATTTTCAAACAGTCGTGTTTCGACCGCGCTTTAATTAAAACGCCACACAAAAACCAAATTGTTCGGTTTATAATTGTGCAAATCTAGTGACACCAGAATCTGGCCAGCAAACTTTTTAGACATTTACAGTTTGAAACTAAAGTAAAAAGTGCATATTCATCGATGCTTTTAATAACAAGTATCTTAATGGCGTTATAATAAAACAGTAGGCCATCACTTAATAGCTCGGTGATTAACACTTCCATCTTTTAAAAGCAGAGAGCGATGCCTTCAGTACGCTTAGCACGAACCAATAGCAGGTCATCCACTACCGTTCATTCCTGTCGGAATTTATAAAACGTACGGATTGAATGGTAGTTAATTACTTGGTCGCTCTTGCAAATCAACTACTGCGCAATCCGTACGGATTATAGATTCCGGCAGGAATGAATGGTAGTGGAAGCCGGACGGCCTGCTATTATCGAATTCGATAGTTTGCGAGAGCGAAATGTCATTGTCAAAATCTGTATGAAAAACTTGAACAGCAGCGCCACAATGGACGTAACGAGAACTAAAAATCAGTACACACCTAAAAACATGGAGTGTCGAATTTCAAGTATCAAAATAACGCAACTATCGTGGCTTTTTGTATTACTAATTAGTTACATTTTAATAATAATAGCTACAACAAAATATCTCTGACCGTGTGAGCCCCGTGGTCACGTGTGTGTATGTTTCTTTCGCACCGTAATCAAACTATCTCTTTCTCTCTCGTATACAATCGACATTAAATCTTACTGCCACGACACAACGTGTTAATTTGAACAAATGTGCTAATGTTATCAGGTGTAAGTTGATGTATAATACACGCTGGGACGTTTTTTATGCACTTTTGTTAGACGATTGGGGGTCTACTTGTTTTTATAAGACAACTAGCTGTGCCCCGCGGTGTTACCCCGGGTTTATAAGGGGTGATTTCCCCTAGTTAAACGTAGCCTATGTGTTAATCCAGGGTGCAGGGGCCAGCTAACTCCATTCTAAATTTTATTAAAATCGCTCCAGACGCAAATAGTCCAGTCAGTATTGTCGCGAAATCCGTTTTTCCTCAAACAGCTGGAACTATGCTAAAAAGTTTCTTAAGATAGTAAAGAACACTTTACATAGAGAAAAAAATGTTTCCAACCCCGGGCAAGGGTGAAAACCACCCTTAATAATCTATTTTTCCAATTATCTCAAAAAGTATACGAGATACGGAAAAAAACTTCAAATGAAAATTGTAGATCTTTTTGAAATCTACAAAACATTATTCCACCCTCTTGCCCCTATTTTCAATAGGGGAGCCAATAATCGAAGTCAAAGATTCAATACTTAAAAAGTTAAAGTTAGTTAAAAAAGTTATCTGAAGTTATCTAAGTTATCTTAATGTAATGTAATGTAATAATCTTTACATTAAGATAACTTAGATAACTTTAGATAACTTTTTTAACTAACTTTAACTTTTTAAGTATTGAATCTTTGACTTCGATTATTGGCTCCCCTATTGAAAATAGGGGCAAGAGGGTGGAATAATGTTTTGTAGATTTCAAAAAGATCTACAATTTTCATTTGAAGTTTTTTTCCGTATCTCGTATACTTTTTGAGATAATTGGAAAAATAGATTATTAAGGGTGGTTTTCACCCTTGCCCGGGGTTGGAAACATTTTTTTCTCTATGTAAAGTGTTCTTTACTATCTTAAGAAACTTTTTAGCATAGTTCCAGCTGTTTGAGGAAAAACGGATTTCGCGACAATACTGACTGGACTAAAAGGCGTGAAGAAGTAACAAACATACACACTCACAATCTTTCGCCTTTATAATATTAGTGTGATGTGCAGTTGCCTCATATCTCATTATATTAAAATGTTCAAGTTAATTGCTGACAACTTTGTTAAAGCTCTGTTCAATGTAACCTTTTTTTATTCATATAAATAAATAAATGCTATGTCAATAAAAATCTATAATAATGTACCTAATAATATAAAGAACGTAGAAATATCTGCCAAATTCAACAATCAATTAAAATCATATTTAATCCAAAAATGTTTTTATAATTTAAAAGATTTTTTTGACGACAAATGTAATTAATTTTTAAAGTTGACATTTTCATTATTAATATTGCTTATTGACATTGTTAAATCTAGTTTATAAAATTGAATTGTGAACTTAGTATTATAATATAATTATTTAACAAGCCCTTTGGCTTGATATTTGCTGTGCCCTTTAAGGGCGTCACATATTTACTTTACATAAATTAATGTACCATCATGAACGTTATGTGACATGCAATAAATGAAATGAATGAATAAATAAATAAATATCAGATTAGTATCTTACGCTTCGGCTTCGTGTTTCTTCAGCTGTGTAATGTGAATAAAAGCTTTGATGATAGCTTCTTTATCTTCCTGTTCTGGGTCTATCAGTGACAATTCATTCATATTCCTAATAGGACCCTGAAATAAAAAAAATATTATTTTCTTCAAACTTCAAGGACATCTAATGAAAACAGTGACTCAGACACCAAAATCAATGATTTTCTTTTTTTTATTATTTGTCTAAACAAAGTTGCAAAGGTAATTTTAAGCACATCAAGCACGATAATTATACAGAGTTCAAGTACTGTGTGACTTTGCAGTGAGGACATGCATGAATTTAATCTGGAATAATTTTCATTTGGTTTAACCACAAACGTAATATATTTTATTTTAATAAAATAAAATTCCTTTACATCTTAACCAAATTATAACTACCTTATGTCTAAAAACGTAAAAACTATAAATATAAATATTGTTTGATTGTCATTGCATAAATAATCGCAAGTGCAATAAACGACTACTTAATACTTTAAAACTTTCTTGATTATGAATTGGGATGTGGTTTTTTTTCTAAAATTTTTGTTCCTCGTGAATTTTTAATATAATGTTGTTTCTCGGGTTAAATACACTTCAACCTTATTAATAAACGAAGACTACGCTTGGATTAGTTACTCCATGTTTTGTCCCTGTCTATTGAATGACAAATGGCATTTGAGTGACATGAACAAAATCTAGCGTAACTTGTCTAAGCTAATTCCTTGTTTATTAATAATGGGGTAACTGGAAAGATTTATTTACAGACAGCCACAGGTCAAGTTATCCAAAACTGACAAATTTCTCCAAATGACTTCGAATTTTATATCGCTAGATATAAGATTCTTAATCTACCTATTTAAATAAAGTTTAATCCATATTTTTCTCGACCACACCATAATTTGGAATTAAGTTTCTGAATCCATGCATCATATTGTTAAAGTTTTCTAATACTTTGTAGAAAGATCTTATTAAAAACAAACAGTGAGTGCAGAAAATTAGAAAACTTAATTTATAATCATACCTCTAACCCAGTGGTTCTCAAACTTTTTAAATGACGGAACCCTTTTGGGAAGCAAAATACTTGATGGAACCCTACAATAAAACAATTATTTTTATAAGTGTATTCTATATTAATCAGCATAATAAAAGTACAATGTATCCGTTACCAATTATTATTTACTTCACCACTTGGTAAGGACAATAATAGAAAACATTAAAAAAGAAAAAATCTAACTAGTGGGAGGTATGAAACTGTTTTTTATTTTTCATCAATTGCTTGATATCAGGTTTGATGGAAGAAAGTTGGAGTCTCATATCAGCTTCGGCGTCCAGTCTATTGCGATATTTTGTTTTCGTGGCTGCGTAGGTAGAGAATCCTGTTTCGCACAAATATGTAGTTGGGAACGGGAGAAGAATATCCAGAGCCATTTGGCCAAGCATTGCATATTCATCTTGGATTCTGCACCAAAAATCATTAAGAGGCGTCGTTTTGAACAATGACTCCATACTTGTGTCTGATGACATTTCTAAAAGAGATTCATATATCTCATTTGACATGTTTTCAGGCTTTTCCAAGTTGGGTAAAAAAGGATTATGAATCCAGGAGTTCACTTTAATTTTTGTATTGTGTTCTTCGGGAAAATACTTTTCAAAAGATGCGCGCATCGAACTGAGATATTGGACCAATTCTTCAAACACATTATCTTCAAACATTTCTGAGTCGTTTTCGCTAACAAACTCAGTGAGTAACGTAAAACTTTCTATTTCTTTCTTACCAATGCAAATGATCCAAAAATCTAATTTTCTTTTAAAAGTAGTTATTTTATTATAGGCCTGAAACACTGTTGTCTGTTTACCTTGCAATGATAAATTTAATTCGTTAAGTTTTTGAAAGATATCCGCCATAAAAGACAATCGGAACAACCAAGTTTTATCATACAAACGGTCCTTCAAATTAAAAGAAGTATCTGCTGAAAGAAACATTTGTAACTCGGCTCTAAGTTCAAATAGCCTTGTTAAAGTTTTTCCCCGAGACAACCATCGCACTTCTGTATGGAGCAGCAGTGTTTTATGTTTGCTGCCATAATCTTCACACAATAATGAGAACAATCGGGATTGTAGTGGTCGTGATTTGATAAAATTAATTATTTTTACCGCTTCATCCATAACTAATTTTAGATTAGACGGCATTTGCTTCATCGCAAGTGCTTGTCTATGCAGAATACAATGACTGGAACTACAATTAGGCGCTTTATTTTTCATTCGTGACACTGCTCCTGCTGTTTTACCTGTCATCGCCTTGGCCCCATCTGTACAAATGTCAATGCAATTGTTCCAACTGAGATTATGTTCTTCAAAAAATATATTTATTTTATTAAAAATTTCTTCCCCGGTAGTGTTTGTAAGCAGCGATGAACACATAAGCATGTCTTCTTCAAAAGAACTTTTATATGGATATCTCACAATAACCAGCAGGATAGCCAAACCAGCGACATCAGTCGACTCGTCCATTTGCAAAGCGAATCGTGTATTTTGTAGACGTGTAACTAGTTCTTGTTTGACGTAGCTTGCCAGATCATGGATTCGTCGTGAAACAGTATCGTTTGATAGCGGAACAGTAGAAAGATGCTTTGCAGATTTTTCATCAAGCATACATTTTGTTATGTCTAATACACATGGTTTTATTAATTTCTCAGCGATAGTGTGCGCTTCACCTGCTTGTGCAATGCGATAGCTAACTAAGTATGATGCCTCCGTGGCCTTTTCGTTGGTAGTTTGTGTTACATGCATCATATTTTTTTGACTTTCTAATAACTGATCTTTTTTGCGAACAAAAAATTCTTTATTCTTGTCTTTAGTCTCGGGGTGTACGGTTTCTAAATGTCGACGCAATTTGGCAGGTGCCATGGAACTATTAGGAAGCAGTTTACTACAGAGCATGCAGAGAGGTTGTAGCAATTAAATTTAATAACGTTAAAAACTTAGCAATATAATTCTTAAATATTAAGTCGTAGAAATATTATTATTTATTCAGCGCCATCTATCATCATGCATATAAATTATTCAATATCGAAATCCACTTTGAAAAGCAATGGACAAGTACAATATATGTGTGAACCTAGTAGTTGTATTTGGAATGTAAGTTAGAGGGAGCTAGTGTGTAATTTTTTTAAATGAGATGCGGAAATGGATGTGACGTCACATTAATGTTCTGGAAACATTGAAAGGCGGAGTCAGCAAAACCGGTCCGTGTGCTTCCTCATACCAAATATGGTGATATGAGAGAAATTTGCAATGACGCTGTCACGTGTTGTAGTAGCCTATAAATAGCAGTGCACAAACAGATTCGCTCTCTTTTGGCTGATAGAACCTTGAAGACCATACTTAGAAAATAGCATTAAGACTAGCAGTGGTAGTCAGTGCATTATATACTTGTTATTTCTCCCCGGATTAACGGGTAAGTTCAATACATTTGATTCGTTAGGCTGTAGGTCCAGTTAGTTTTTTTATTGAATTAAAGAAAAATATGTAATTGGTTCTAGGTCCATTAATTTGGCTAATAAATAACAGTAATAGTCACATTTACTTAATCCTGATTGGAATCTCCTTGGAAATATATATATATATGAGCCTGTGAAGCTTCCTTGAGCAAAAAAGTGACGGGTTCACGTGATGACAGCAAGTCCTGCTTCATCCCTGAGGACATTTGAGTGATCCTGATGCTCCCATGATCTTGCCAAGCTAAGTAAAACTTATAACTTCTTGATATTTAACCAGTGCATACTCCGGATAACAATTTCTGTTTAACGTGATAAAGGATTTCTATTAGTAAACTATAAAGCCATTATAAGTACATAACAAATTTTTATTGTTAGATTTTCAAAAATTTAATATTTTATAACTTGTTTAATAATTTGTTTATATAAGAAACTTAAATTGAGTATTACTGTATTAGCACATGATCTTGAATGTTTGAATAGCTTTAAATCAAAAGAAAAATCTTTGAAGAAATATAACTATGTATTTTTAACTTGAATGTGACTAGTATTAAGTTTTAACCATGATGAAATAAGATCTGAATCTTTTTAACAATATAATATCTTGTTCACTGCTGTTTTAGACATTTTCATTTATCTCCCTCAAATCACAGTATCACGGCGCCCTGATTTTAAATTAAATAAGTTTCGAGTCTCATGTACGCCCTGAAATAGTCGGTGGTAACTAAAATTGTTACAAAATGGCGCCCAACGTGGGGCCGAGCAATAAAATACTGTATTTGAGGGAAATACTGGTGTGCTGATATGATGATAAAAAGGTTGGCGGAAAAATAAATGCTTAAATCCCCAATCAGTCTGAACGGCACACTAGAATTTAACATCTAATCAAAAAAAAATTTAACTTAAAAATCATTAATATTCAGAATTTGTACTAATGTGTTAATATGATGATAAAAAGATTGGTGGAAAAATTTAATGCTTAAAATCCCCAATCAGTCTGAATAGCACATTAGAAGTAAATTACTTAATAACTTAAAAAACTTTAATAAACAATACTTTTGGAATACTAGTGTGTCTAAATGATGATAAAAAAGGTAGGTGGAAACATAGATGCTTAAATCCCCAACCAGTCTGAAAAACACACTAGCATTAATTAACTTAGCACATTAGAATTAATCAACTTATACTACAATAACACCTTCGTATTGATTGGATGCGTAAAAAATTGACCTTGAACAGTGAACAAGATAGTCTTTAAGAATTGAAACTTGTAATAATAAAAGTACCCTCCTTCAAAAAAAAAAAATTTTTATAAATTCCTTTGTATTTAACTTTCTTAGATTAAATAACTTGAATAAGTAGCTTGATTTAAAAACTTGATTAAACGTAATTTAATAATTAACTTAATAATTAACTTAGTAACAGAAATAACTGACTTTAACTTGAAAAAAAATCTGAGAAAATGCTCTCTATACAAAAATATGTAAACTACTTAAGAAAGGATGAAATCATATATGAATTGGATATTCTTGGCATTTCCACAGCTCCTGACACATCGGTGGATGCACTGAGAAAGCAGCTTCGCCAAATTTTCAAGCTGAAGAG